AGAAGCAAAGGAAAAGTGGGAATGGATGGTTGATAGAATTAGGGTTCTAAGTGCTTATAAAATGGAACTTCCTCTACCCAGCAAAAATCATCCAGTGTGTGACCAAGCTTTGTCAAGTGACTAGAAATTTACTTAAGACACCTCATCTTCTACCTCCATTGTTTTCTCTCCTATTGAGATAGAAATCTTCTTAATTTGCCTATTCCCCATCTTCAACCTTTTCTCTCTGTAAGAAATTCATGCTTTTGGCTCTCTATCTCTCAAAATTGCTAAACATGCGAAAGCTTAGCTCCCATGCCACAAGTTTCTCAAGCCAAGTCACTTTATCAATTTGTTATGTTCATTTAGTTATTGGTGAAGAGAACATAAAAGTGTTTTATAAAGTTTCAACAAACTTTTCAAAACTCTTTTGAGGAGCCTGGTTCTTAAACTCAGACATTGTGAGAATTTTGTTCTCTTCCTCTTACAATAGCCCGGGATCATTCGTCAGGCTGTTGGAACAAAAAGATCCCTACAACAAATAAGAAATTTGATGCCAATAACTATTCGGTCTAGTAACACATAATCCTCTAGTTATTGAAATAAATTATAAATTCAAATATTAAGGGACACAATATTTTTAAAAAAATGAATTTGGGTGAATTTTTTAGAGCATCGACAAGACTAGCTAAACCTACGTTTTTAATGACCCAATCTTATTAAAAAAATAATTAAATATTTAAAGTTACTCAACATGATGGATGGGTTTTACTAGAAATCCAGTGGGCATCGCATTAAAAATGCACTCCACATCCACATGCGTCCAAAACTAAAACAATTGATTGATGCGTCAGCTCAGCTGTGGCTCCCATTGCATTCTCTCTCTCTCAATCTCGAGTAATTTTCACAAACAACCTGCACAGCGAGTCCACGTAGGACGACGCGTATCCGCGAAACCATAACAAGGAAAACGTGCACGCCTTCTCCCAAAAAACAAACAAATTCAAGCCCAACAGTGAACGCCTAAAATTATTTTTTATTTATTTATTCTGTTCACTATCACACTCAATGTGCATCAACGAACAGTCGTACTCGTACGTTTGAGACTTATATAAATGTTAAAAAAATTTAGGATCTCATTTTATCTATATCTATCAGCCCCGATCTCTTGAACCACAGGAATTCAAGAGATTTATGATTACTCACCGTTAAAAAGAGTGCAAGAGTGAGTGAATCGTTGAATTTACATCCAACGGTGAGTAACCATAAATTCCTTGAACCCTGTAGTCCAACAGATCGAAACTGTTATATCTATATATATATATAAAGCAAAATGCAGAAAATATTAAAACATTTAAAATATCAAAAAAATACCCTTGATTAATGAAAACATTAAAAATTGAAATTATTAATTAAATGATGATAATATGGTAAATTCACACTTTTTCATATAAAAAAATTAAAATTAAAAGAAAAATTAAATAATGAATCATATTTTTATAGAACACAACTACCTATTATCTTTTTTAATTCTGAAATAAATTTAAATTTTGTTAAAAAAAACCTCTCGCAGCAGGTGCGGAAGCACTTACGAAGAGACTAGTGAGTGAGAATAATTGAGCTGAAAAAATATTTTTTGTATTTATTTGTAAAATTTACATAGGGGACGGAAAGCCCAAGACCAACTAAGCCTAAACGTTTCTAGCCCAGTAAACTTATAAACTCCCCATAAAGCCCATTTACAATACAAATATAGTGGATTACTTTTAATTAATTTGTTCTGGCTAATAGTATCCCGCCACGTCAGAAGTGCAAAACGTCTAGTTGTATAGCGCGCTGACTCACCTCCGCCACACGTCGTCACAAAAGTAAGAAACTGAAACGCAAGAACTATGGTACTTGCTGGGCACCGCCTTATCTCAAGCTCATCATCAGCTACTGTAACTGCCATTTCATCGTTCCCTCCAAAACCAAAACCCCCAATTTCAAATCACAACTTCTCCTCCAACCATGAAATTCCAAACGTCTTACACAGTCGCAGAGACGTTGCTTTGCTCTCCTTCATCGCTCTAATTCCTTATCTTTCGCGACCCGACCCGGCATTCGGACTCTCCTTCGGCATTTGTGAGCACGCATCATTTTGATTTCTTCATTTACTTTTCTAGTCATTTGCTGTCGAAACCCTAATTTGTCCATCTTTGCGCAGCAGGACCAAAGGATTGGCTCCGAGAACAAAAGAAGAAGGCCTCCAGGTTCCTCTTGGCCCCAATTGATGCCTCTAGAGAAAGCCTCCTCACTGCTCATCGAATACTCAGTCTCTCTCTCTCTCTCTCTCTCTCTCTCTATATCAATATATATAAATCTATACACAAATATGTAAGTGTATTTTTTCATATATCCCTCATTGGTGCTAATTTGGTTGTTTTTGACAGCGGCTACCGATTCTAATAGTACAAATGAAGAGATAGAGGAGGTTCAGAGACTATTTAAATCTGCTGCGAGGGATTGCGTTCCAGAAGACAGGAATTCATTTGTTGCATTTCAAGCCAATACAGGGGTTGAGGTTCGGCATTTCGCACCCTTCTCATTGTCTTTTATTTAATCTGAGTGATTACGCCGCTCTTAATTTCTAAGGCCCCGTTTGGGATTGCTTTTTTTGGCAAAAAACCTGCTTAACTTTAAAGTTAAGCAGTTTAAGGTGTTTGGTAAAATTAAAATATCCTGATTATTTTAAAAGCAGTGGCCTTTTGACAGCAGCTTTTAAAAGCTGACTCTGGGTTGCTTTTCAAAGCTGCTTTCAAAAGAAGCAGAGATAAACATTTAATGAATTTTTTTAATTCTCAAAATATCATCATTCATTTTAAAAAAATGACACCACCTCCACTTTTACATCCAACTCCACCACTTGCACCACCACATTTACTACCTCCACAACCACCGCCACCACCACCACCACCACAACCACCACATCCTCCTCCTCCTCATCCTCCGCCACCACCACCTCCAACATCACCTCCTCCTCATTCACCACCACCGCCGCCACCACCACCACCACCACCTCCACCACCACCACCACCATCACCACCTCCTCCAAAACCTCCACATCCACCACCAACACCATGTTGCCACTACCATCGCCACCTCCACAACTGCCATCCCCACCACCACAACCATCAACTTCGCCTTCATCTCCACCCTCAACTCCACTCCGTCACTATCACTACCACTACCACCACATGATTAGTGCATAACACTTTTAACATCATGTCTATTTTAGTCATTATTCACAGTTACAACAATTTTATATTAAAGTTTACCAAACAGTTTTAACACTGCTTTTTGTACTAACAGCACTTTAAAAATAGTGTTTACCAAACATGGAGCTGCTTTATTTTACAGCTAATTATTTTTAAAGCACAGCAGAAGCAACTTTTTTTAAAAGTGACAGCAATCCCAAACTAGGCCTAATTAGTGCATACGGTAAACTGTTTAGCTTGTTACGATAAAAACTGTACTCATGGTGAGGCTTCTAAGGACGTGTTCGAAAAATCGGCCTAGGCGGCGGGTCCTATATTTTATATATATATATTTTTTCCTGACTTTAAAGAAAACCTACCTCACGCTGCCTCTCATTTCAAGTATTTTTCTTTGTAGTACTATTATTTGCTTTATGCTTAACTTTTTCCCTGTGTTTTATATCAATTATGGTACTTTACAATTTATATATCCTTTTATTTTGCATGATTTTGGTATAAATTTATAATTTGTAGTACAAAATATATTTTTTTTAAAGAAAAGCCTAGGCGCCCGCCTAGGCCCTGATTACTCCTCTAGGTGCTAGGCCCCTTCCTGCTGCCGACCGCCTAGCGATTTGTCGAACATTGCTAAGCAGCATATGATGCTAATTTGAAGGAATTTTTAAGACTATTTTGCATGACATTGAAAGCATCTTGTTGTAGGATAATGGAGCTCTTGAACTTTTGCTAATTGACCTCATATTAGCTATAGCTTTATTGTCCAAATTCATTTACTTCACAGGTTTGCACATTCCGTCTGGTTGTAAAGAATGCGGCGTCGTTGCTTGGTGATAAGGATCCTGTAAAATTGGAAGCTGAATCCGTGCTAAATGACCTTATAAGGTAGCCAAGCCAGTGTTCCTTGCCTGTATTCTCCAGGCTGGTGTACATTTTATGTCTGACATATTTTCATGGATTACTAAAAAAAAACATGTTTTTTTATTTTTGCATATATGTTTGGTTGTTCATACCCTGTTTTTTTTTTTTTTTTTTTTTCCTCTGGCAAAAAGATTATTGGATAAAGCATTCTTCATTTCATCAAATATTATACCCTGGTTATCGAAATTTACTGTTTCTCTATAGAATTGTTGTATTATTTCTAACATTTTCATTTTCTTTTCTGTTTTCCATTGCTTATTGTATTGCAGATCATTCACTTCTCTTAATGTTCTGGTAAATGAGACTGACGTTCAATTTGCCTCTGAAAGGTATGTTTCTTTTGTCAAGATAAACATGGGCAAGGGAGAATTTTCTTGAAAACATGCTCTAGGAATTGCGTGTAGAAGTTTATGTACATTCAGCTTTGTCTCACTCTTTACCCTTAGATGGAATTTTGTGAGTAACCTGTTTGGGCTAATAGGCACCAAGTTGTAGTAGTAACCATTCATTTTTCTATCTGACTAATTTTTTTGTTGGGCTGCAGAAAGAAGGTTGCAGATTCTCTCATGGATACCATATCATCCCTAGACAAATTTGAGCAGGGAATTAAGGACTGCCTTGAAGCTTGACCAATATGTATTTTGTTTTCCTTGCAGAACAAAACTATCTTGTGGATGTCATGTTTGAAATTCTGCAGACGCATGTTTATTCCAGATTCAGAAATCTCCCTTTGCTCTTTCTGTTTGGTGTCTTGATTTTTCCTCTGTCATGTTCTTTGACCTTATTTTGGTGCATTCTTTTTCCTATAAGATAGATCCTTATAATTTAGTATCGTTATTGAAGTAAGTAAATGCTAGTTCTGCTCCAACCAAAAAAAGAAAGTAAATGCTAGTTTTGTTGCGAAGTCTTCGTGTTGCAGTCTCAGTTTCTCATTGTAGAAATATCATTCTGGTCGTTGTTATCAGAATGGGATGCAAGTAGCTCTGTGGAAATGTACATTTCGTCACATCTTAAGTCATTCTAGTCATTCAGTTAATCTAATGGTGAAAACCAATCCACAAACTAACTGTCTGGCTTGAAATGAAGCAAAATGCACACTTATAAATTTTTACTTTGCATACTGAAGGTTACCAATTGTCGGTGAGCATTGTTGATAATTTGCCTAACATAATTGAACAACTGAATATGTATATATTTGTTTGCTAATGAATTTGTCAGACATCTCATTCGAGTTCTCATTCCAATGGAATATATTTTCCTTCGACCGTACTACAAATATTGATGCCTACTCCTATGCTGCTTTAATTTTGAGTTGACACTTGTGGTATCAAATTATAAATGACCTGTTGGTCCCTGTCGAGTGGTCTAATAGGTAATCAGATGTTGCTACACCAACTGGCAGTGAAGTGTTCCATCATCTGGCTGTGTTTGTACTGACCTAGACAAGCTGTGCAGCTAGTTGGAGATATTTATTGAACATCAGCTGGCCATCTATGGAATGGTTTGCTTTGGTGAACCAGAAGCCTCAACCAAATACAAGCGACAACATGGTGTTCCATCATCTGGGTGGGTATATACTGACCTAGGCAAGCTGCGGAGCTTGTTGAACAGATTTAAGGGATCGTGCATGAGCCCAAAATGAGCATCTGGATCACCAATTTGTGAAAGTTTAACATAAGAAAAGCCAAGAGATGGCAGGAGATGATCAGGCCAATCGCTGTAGAAATGGAAGATGGAACTGGAGAGACTGGTTGATGGTTTGTTCATAAAATCTGCCAAGAGCACTGTGTTAGTAAGCGAGCACTTGTCTGCTATGATTTCAAGTACTTGTGTGGCCTCAGAGTGGGATAAGTAGTAGAGGATGCCTTCTAGAACCCACACTGTGTTCTTCTCTGGCACAAACCCTGATATTTGAAGTTTTTCGAGCCAGTCATTGCTTCTGATATCAGCCGCCACTCTGGTTATGGATTTTGCTGTCATCGTTAGATACTGGTGATCGTTTGTAGAATCCATCGCTGCTTGCAGAAGAGTGGCTTTAATTTGCAGGACTTCAGGAAAATCAACTTCGAACACATTGATTTCCTTCAAGCAACTCAATCGGTAAGGCCTTGCATCCATTCCTACAAAAAGAAGTGCATATTTCATTTTAGGCTGAATTTTTACTTTCTATACATGTGAGATTTGAGAAATTTACATTCCATATACATGCTATTAATAATTCAATATTCACTACAATTAGTATCTCGATGGGGCATGGTCCAAAAGTTTGTCCTGGTTTCCTAAAGCTAGCACACATAAATGACCAATAATTCCTGACCTGCATAAGGGGATCAGTTTTGCTAGAAATGGTCAGAGCTCTACAAGGATTCTCCCAGTATATTGTGATAAAGCAATGTAAATGAACAACTAATCCAGTGTTGGGATTATCTAGTACCCAGAACTCATATGCTTTGAAATCTACTTTACAGCAAAAAAGTCCCCAACATCATGCATCGTAGGCACGAAGTTCACCTTGATGCATGCCGCATTGGTTCAATAAATGCTGTTAACAAAAAAAATTTGTGGTAGAGTAGTTACCAACCTGCCCCTAGAAGAACTACTTGTGCTTCTCTGTCATTGAAGGAATGAAGTGCTGCTTCAAGTTTTGAATCAAACCAGAGGGTTCGAACTGCAAGAATGACTCCAGAGATTTCTCGTGCTTTGTTGACACAGTCTTTCTTTATCTTCTCATGAAGATTTTTTAGGTACGTCTCTCCAGCAAGTATGTCTGCCAGGGGGTCATGAATCACATGCTTCCACAAGGCTCTACCAGCTGCAGTTTGGCATGCAGACCGCTGAAGGGGATCCCATTCATTCTCAATTGTTGCATGGACTTGTCGAACAGTGTCCGTAGACAACAAGTCAGGAAGCTTGAACTCCGGCCATGTTGGGTGTTCAGGTGATCCATTTTCTTGACTTGACATGGTCTTTAGATTGCAAGGAAGGGTCTTTAGAGTGCAGGGAAACTGAGAAACTAATAGAAAGGAATGAAGAACATATGGCATGCTATGTGTAGGGATCAAAGGTTGCAGGTGATATAAGGGATAAGAAAAGAGAGCCACACACAAAAACCAAGGGATGAAAAAGGGAGGTACCAATGTAGTCCACGACTACCACAATTCACGTGCCTTCCGTTTGTTTTGCTGTATAGGCTTATTAGTAGTAGGCTAAGTACTTTTTATTGATAATTGACGACTGACGAGGAAGAGCTCCACAGAAAAAGACATTATCTGATGCGAGTGGCTCCCAGGAAACTAATATCCGATGGCTAATAAAGGGAGCCCCAGTACGTGCTCATATAACAAGTACCCGTTTGTTTGTTTGGTTTTTTTGCACACGACGAGAAGGCATCATCTTTGGAGCTTCTGGTGGTACAACTTTTACTTTGCGTTGCAACGAAGGCAAATTGGCGTGAGGCTGCTCGCGGTTCCAAACAAATCCCCGCAATTGATTGGCTAATTGGGTTGCTGCGATTGCAAATTTGCACCACACAAAGATCTTCAGCCGTGCTGGTTAATTTCACTAGGTTCTTAGAAATAATCCTATTTTAACATGACATGTTATAAATAAAAAAATCGCATATAGAGCTTATTTGGGGAGAAAAATCCAAACTAGAAAATGACAATGACAAGAAGTGGCTAGTTTTGGGTTTTTCTCCAAATACTCTAAGGATTTTTGTATAGTATGTCATGTTAGAATGAACCTATTAATGAAAAGTCATGACCCTCCATTTGGATGAAGGAAAATAACTTGTAATTTAGCTAAAAGTTGGGAATTTAAGGGGAGAACTTTGTTTTGCAACTTAAATGCAGAATTTATTAAATGACGCATCAAAAAAATTGTAGAAATTGGAGCTTCAAATTTTCTAGTTTAATTTCCATCAAAATAGGCATTATTTCACAATTTTCAAAGTAGCATTTATAAAATTATGTTATTTACAGAAGAGATACATAAATCCAAATATTGAAATATTTAATTGCCAGAAATTCAAGTGATAGAAATCTAAATTCTATTATTTTAGAATTTTGTGTAATTTTTATTTTAGTCAGAGTTATTTTATTAGCAAGCCGCTTGGGGACCATACAGTGAAATCGAGAGCCTTATTACATGAGAGCGACGCGAATCTGTTTCACAGTCGGGTAAATCCAACTGTAAAAGTGAAATGCTCAAAGTCAAAGGTCTCAAACTTGTTTTAACAAAATAGAGAACATCTGCGGAAAAAAGAAAATAAAAGAAATGTAGGTTTGGCGCCCTTTTTTTATTTTTAATTTTTTAAGATAAGAGTTTTTAGTATTTTTAATATAATTTGAGATAAAAATGGTTTGGACCAAGGTCTAAAATATTGGTGATATCGGAAATATCGGTAGTCTAAAAATATGGAAATTTCAATGGAAATATCGGGATATTATCGATATCGATAAAAATTGAATAAAAATCACGAAAATTATAAGAAAAACTTGGAAATTTTTATTGAAACTTTGGAGGATACTTATTTAGTCAATTATTTATTAGTTTATCACAAAAAAATGGAAGGAAATGCATTGCATGATGGATTTAACTAATTTAAGTTGATTATATAGCGAGCTGACAAACACCGTGAGTGTAGAAAATATGTAGTAATTAATGAAAAAAGATTAAACACACCACAATCATTTATATATAATGATTTACTACAATATTTTACATTTTATACATTGCATGGTAAGATATATAAGTGACTTAGTACCACATAGAGTTTCTATGAAAAGTTGAAACTTGAAAAGCAGCTCACAAGTATTATATATACTATATTTCATAGTTTATAATCACAAAGTTATGAGCAGCGTGGTGGTGAAGCGGCTGCAAATTTCAGAGTGGAGAAGGGTTGGAACCCCATTGTGTGCGAGATCGTGAGTGAGTTTAAATTGTTTAATTTTTGAAAGTCTCGCAAGTATTATATATACTAGATTTCATAATTTATAATCACAAAGTTATCAGCAGCGTGGTGGTTAAGTGGCTGTAAAAATTTGAAGTTGAGAAGAGGGGTTCGAACCCCAGTGTGTGCTGAGTTTAAGTTGTTTAATTTTTGAAAGTTCAAGATTTTTGAAAGTCTCGCAAGTATTATATATACTAGATTCCATAGTTTATAATCACAAAGTCATCAGTAGCGTGGTGGTTAAGTGGCTGCAAAAATTCGGAGTTGAGTGGGTTCAAACCCCAGTGTGCGCTGAGTTTAAGTTGTTTAATTTTTGAAAGTTCAAGTTGCGATATTATGACCATTTAAAGCTGAAATATCTTTCCCGAAATATCTTAGTGGAAACTAAGGTGGACAATCATATCAATTAAAATTATTTAATATTTTTTTTTCTTTTATGATTTATTTTTTTAATTGCCTTAATTAAAATACACCTCATTGATTTAATTGATGTAACATATAATATAGTCATACGACATTATGTGATATAAAAATATGGAATAAAAATATATTAAGTGTAACATTACTGATAATGTAGTATTATCTGCAACTATACCTAACATATTCGAATCCAGGCTGACGAGGTTATTCTTATTCCCGAATTAAATTATCATCGCTCAAATGACAAATGACAGCGCCGAGTGGATCACACAGCAGCAAGATTTTTTTCATTCTCAGCTAGCGCGCTGGTTAAAAAAATAAAAGTGGTCAAAATGGGTCGTGATAAAATCGAGGGAATGGAACCGGCAAAAAGGTTATCCAAGACAATCATACGGTCCTAAGAGAGACAAAAAACCCACCCGCACCGCTACAAATTTCGGTCTTCCGTCTACGGTCTCCAGCAACCCAACGAGCAAGCGACAGAGATGGCTGTGGAGGTGATCTGTTGTGGGACAAAGTTCTGGCTGTATGTGCTTATCATCATAGGGCTGGTGTGCTTTGCCGGAATGATGGCTGGGCTGACGCTGGGCCTCATGTCTCTCGGCCTCGTCGACCTCGAGGTCCTCATGAAGTCCGGTCGTCCTCAGGATCGCAAGCATGCCGGTAAACTCATACTCACTCTTAATTTCATTGTTTTTACTCTATTGTTTTTTGCTTGCCTTTTCGAGCTCATCTCTCAAGTTTTAAGACGAAGTGACTCATAGAATTTCGCATTTTAATACTTGTTACTTTGGGCCTTCTATGATCATCTGGGTTCTGAGCTAATCGGTGATGACGACTATTTCTCTATAGAATCCATTCAAAGGATAGTTGGTGTTAATATTCGCTGCAATTAGCTCAGTTGGGCTTATTTGTGGTTCTGTGGAGGTTTTAGTTGGAAGGTGTAAATGATCAAGTAATAGATGCAGCTTGTTCAGCAGTT